GGCTTTGGGGCAGCTGGAGGTTTCCTCGTGACTGATGTGGGAACGAGCGAGCCTTTTCAGCCGGGTTTTGACAGGACCCTTGCTGATATATTGCGGTATTTGGCTGTCCTGACTGGACATACGCCACCTCCACCTCCTGTGTGTTTCCACCCTGGAAGCTGCATTAAGAAGATCATGCTGTGCCTAATTAAATTGGGTAATACGGGAAAGGCATGCCTCCCAAAATACCCCCGTCCAGCAGCAAATGTCCCCCGGGGGCAGTGGGAACAGGGGATGTCGGGGCCTCCCTGTCCCCTCTGCTGGCTGTCCCCAGGCCCATGGGGGGACGTGCTGCTGGGGGACATGCGGCCGAGGCCGATGTCCTCGGAGGAGCCGATGCCATCTACACGCGGGCACCGAGGCCGGGGGGAATGTGCGGTCCCGATGTCACGGCGGGGAGAGGCGTGGAGGCAGATGGAGCTTTGCCTCCGTTTTCTGCATTAGCTGGGGCTGCAAAATGGGGGGGTGGCTGTCAGCTGTGCTTGATTTCAGGGATAATTCCCAGTCCTTTAGGAAACTGGGACTCATTTCACCAACCGGCGAGCTGACCTGTGCCCACTGCAAATGGGGAAAATCCACTCTCCTGGATTTACTGTGGATTTACCCCACCACAGTGGAGAGCAAAACATGCCAAAGGCCTCCAAGTGATGACCAGCATTTTCTCAGTGCCGGGAAAAGCGTTTTAATCTACAGCAACCAAAGCAAAAGCTCTCTTTTTGGAGATTCAGGACTCCCTCTTGTGTCCAAAGGATGGCTCCGGTGTCTCAGGGTGATGAAGTCTCGCCTCCCGCTAGCTCATATGGGCATTAGTTAGCAAAACTGAAAATATTATGAATGCAGCTGTTACGTCTCATCTCTTCTAAAAACCCCTCTTCCTTTAATAGAAATCATGTTGCATGCAAAAAAACTGCTGTCCGTGTGTAACACCCAGCCAAAGTGGCGTTAACCAGTGACCCAGGGTGGTATCAGCACGAAGCGAGGGTGCGGATGAGCGCAGAGCCATGTCCCCACACCACATCCTCCCAGGTTTTGCAGTCCCAAAAGAATAACTTGCTGCAGAGCCTGCTATGAACTGCGGTTCTGCGGGCGCCTGCTGGCCTTGGTTTACCCAGGCTTCAGCTGGGCTCTGCCTCTTCTCAGCACGGGGATGGCAGATGTACTAAAAAGGAAAATAGTTGCATTAAGGAATTAATTTCTGAAATATGTTAGTCTTCAGAATTGGAACATATTAATGTTTTGGTTGCCTTGAACATAGAAAAGGCAGAAAAAGCTGCAAAGGGTAGTAGTTATTTTGTTAAAGGGCATTGGAGCCTGTCCTTAGGTGAAGGCACAGGCTGGGATGAGGGACCTTCTATCCCCCACCACCGAACCATCACCCAAACCCTCCTGGGCACCCCTACGGAGACCCTCCAGTGAAGTGCTGCCTGAGGGAGAACCCCAGCCCCTGGCTGCTTTTCCCTGTGGGATTCCCTGCGGAGCCGGCGGGGTGGCAGGCGCTGGCCCCGGGCGTTGCCAGGCACCGCAGCAGAGGGCGAGGAATCGTGCCTGGCCCCATCCCTCTGTCCCGGGAGATGACAGCTCTGAGTCACCCCTCTGAAAACAGCCCCTGGGATGCATCAGAATATATCTAGGGCCGATGCACGGTGGGAGCGGGAGCTCTAACATTGCCTTCAAAGGGTTGCAGAGGAGCTGGGATGAAATCCAGGTCGGGATGTGGAAGAAGGGTCTCTGTCTGCTTAGAGAGGGGAAATCTGGGCCTCTGCCACTGTGCACGCCGATACGGGAAAGCCGCGCTTCTGTAAACGCCTGACGTGAACAGAGACTTGCAAAACACAGTCATGCCTACAGGGGAAGGATGAAATCCATCTAGCAGCGAGAGATGATGTTCCTCCCGGGGAGGGAGGCACAGGCGAGGGGCGTCATGCCAACCTCTGCCTCCCCGCTTGCTGCTCAGAGCCAAAGCTTCCAGCATCCCCTGGCTCTCCAGAGCAGTTTGCTTATAAAAGAGTTGGGAATTGAGGTTTTGTAGAGAAAACTAGAGCCTCTGCCATGCAAAGCGCAGGGGGAGGCTGCTGCGGCAGGTATGGGGTGTCCCAGGGAAAACCATCCGCTCCTGCTGCTTCTCTTGCCTCCCCACGTGAGACCCACAGCAGAGACGGAGTGCGGCTATCTATAGCCTGAGGAGGGCTGCCAACACAAGTGCCCTTAATCCGGGTGCACAGCCGGCTCGGCGGCACACCGGCTGTCGCTGCGGTTAGGTGCTGCGTGTTAGTTTGGGCTTCAGCTGCATCCCAATGTGCTGTTGCACTTGTCAGTCAATCCAAGGTACCAAGACAAGTGGAAAGGTTTACTGCACTTTTTTCTCCAAAATCTCGGTTCAGGTTTTCCTTTCAGGCAGCTGCAACCCACTGCAAAACAAGCAGAGGCATCCTTCAGTTCAAATATAAGGAAATAAAACACAGACGTCCAACTAAGTTGCAACTTTATTTGAGGTCAGGGGTGTTTGCAGGGCTCCTTGGGCAGTCTGCCATGGCTCCAAACTGCAGCAAAATGCTCCAGCATCCCCTTTCCCTGCGCGGGGCACCCCTCAAAGCCCTTTAAGCACTGTGGCTTCTTTCCCAAGGAACATGTGTCACAGGCTAAATGGTCACCTGGAGCTCAATTTCCCCAGTTAAAACAAGTTTCCTTCAAGAGAAGCATGCTGATGTCCCATGGGGAAAAAAATCTGGGATTTTATTGCTATCTAAATCTTCCTCAGAGGGTTTTAGCTGACCAAGCTGCGCTTTGCCCCCTTCCCCAGCTGTGTTGGTCCCATTGATGCATCTTCTCCAGGAGCCAGGGCAGGGCTCTCACACCACATGCCACCTCGGCGCCCGTAAGCAGAAACTGCTTTAGGAAGAGGAGAAGGGTACCTATCAAAACCAACAGACGTGCAAGCACTGCAAATTGTCATTTAATTAAGGAGACGGGACATTCAGAGGAAGCTTAATTAAAGTTGCTCTCCAAAACCACTTATTATCTCATCAAGACGCTGAGCTCAGCAGCAGCTCCTGCCGATGCTGGGACAGCACTAGAAAATCCCTCTTGGGCTGTCTTTACTACACGTGTTTTCTCCTTACACAATGTCATCTTTTGGCTAAGTCCTGACCAAAGGAAAGTGTTTTGCAGCGAAAATAAAATCAAAAAGGGTTTATCCAGCTGCATTTGCAGAGGTGTGTTTGCTTATCTGCCGCCCTGGTCCTGGTTGCATCTCCCAGATGCCAGCCTTACCCCTATAGCGTTACTCCCTCTGCACTGCAGCTCCCTTTTGCCGAGGAAATACTTTCCATCCAGACAACTTCGAAAGCCATACATGCACCCAGGGCATTTGGCACTTCTGCTATTACTAATGACGCTACACTGGAGCTAACTGCACCCTCCCTCAGGTAGCAAAGGAAGGACAGAGAGAGGTCACCTTCATTTTGCTGGAAGGTGCTTTTTTACCCAGACCTCCGGTGACTCCCCCTCAGGGCAACTCGGATTCGGGGGGAAAAGACTCGCCATCCTTTAAGGATTCTCCACTTCTATTACAAATTCCTGACAAGATCCTCTTCAACGTGCACAGATTTGAACCATTTCCCTGTGCTCAGTGGGACAGTGCATTGAGGTAAGCAAAGTTCATAATGTCAGCGAAGTCATCTCAAACTACACCCAGAGTTCACTCTGGGTTCATCCCTGAGGCTCTGGGCCGAGTCCATGCAGGTCTGGCCCATCAGCCCAGCTCCTCAGCTCTGTTTTTGAGGTAGCACCAGGCATTTTGGTCACAGAACCATTGCAGCGGTGCCTCTGCCCAACTCAACAGCGTCCACGCCTTCAGCAGCACATGGTGCCCACAGATCTCCACCAAGAGCTGTTTGCAGCTGGGGGAGGCACAGCTTTGGACCGCTGCCAGCACTGCTTCCAGATGCAGATGCTCGCAAGCGCAGTAGCACAGCAACACGCTATTAGGGAGATCAGCCCTCTGCAGACAGGGACTGGCTCTGCCCTCTGCAGTTCAATCTCAAATGCCCTGTGCTAGTATCCACCTGCGTTGCGCCTTCCTGCGTTGCCACATCTGCACCGTGTACATTGCGCACACCAGTCTGTAGCTGCCTTCTGCCAGCTTGGACAGGCCTGAACCTCCTCGAGCTGCCTGCATTGCAGTGCACTGCACAGCATACTACTGTACAGCATGGCATTGCCCAGCGCTACATTGGACAGCATAGCATTGCACGTACACTGCATTGCATTGTACAGTCCTGCACGGCACAGGACCGTGTTGCATAGCACAGCACTGCAGAGCATTGCACTACATTGCACAGCCCCGCTCTGCACAGCGCTGCGTTGCCCAGCACAGCATTGCCCAGCACAGCATTGCCCAGCACAGCACTGCACAGCACTGCACTGCACTGCACAGCACTGCCCACCAACGCCCTGCAGTGCCGTGCCTTACACTGCGCGAGCCTCGCATGCGCGCCTCCACACCCTAAACCC